CCTTTGTATTTCAGCTTTAGAACAAGTCTAGCATGTGAAGACCTCGTTCCCCAAACATTAGTTTTGGATGATGAATTGTATAAATCTACATCTTTTGAAGGTATTGCTTTGAGGTGGGATGAGAAACAAACCCAAAAAGCATTCAGTTAATGACAACCTACTTCCTTATATCTACAGTATAACGAAGTACAATAAAGACTTGATGCCCCACAAAAGCACTTCAACCCTCGTTTCTTAGAGGGGCTTTATTTACACACCTCTTCAAACACTGCATGGCTTATTTAAACCAGGAAAGTTCAACTCAGGGACAGCACCTCCCATCAATATACAAATTATTCAGATACCAGCTACATAAGATGAAGTGTCCAAAATGACAAAATAGTTGAATTACATCAAATAAGAAACCAATCCTGTGTTATGGCTTCCTGTATTTTGATACCCCACACTGCCTCTATATAAACCATCTGTGCTACACACACTTCAAGCCATCTTTCAACTATCAACAGGGCTTCTGCAGTAAAACAAACAATTACTAATAGATGTATCTTAGAGACAGATTTTAAATCAAAAGGCACAGTGCTCCAGCATTCTGTTATTAACAAAAGATCAGAACAAATCAGTAGAGAATTTTTTCTGAACATCCATTAGTAACAGAACACAGAGATGAAAGACAGAGGGGGGAGCAACGTTTGCTATCACACTCACCCAGACAAGACAACACACACGCAGAGTCTGGATTGAAAAACTACTTCCAAGTGCTCATTCTAAAAGAATTTTGTGACTTTTTTTTTTTTTTTTCCTAACCAGAATCATGCAAACCAAAGGAAAGAACACAAAAAGCTATTGTCATTTGCACTAGCAAAAAAAGTGTAATAGGGCACAATGGAACCAAGTTAACAATGAAACTGTAATCTGGACTTTAACTGGGGAGTGTTAGAAGTTATACAGCTTTTCACAGGACTTGGCACAGGCACCCCCCAGCTATTGGAACAGGTAAAAGGTATCAGGCTTGCCAGAAAATAAACCTCTTCGGTTTTTTTTATAAGAGGAGTCACAACAATTGAGCGCCATAGCCTGCTAGATTCACACAGTCTTCTGGACAATTTCTCCTACCTAACTTCTGTTCAGAGGAAGACTGGAACATTAGTTAACTTGAGTTCCTCACACAAAAAAGCACTTCTTAAGCACGGATTACTTACAGGAAGAGTATTTAATAAGACAAGCTACACATTAGTTGTGTATCCTGTGGTGAACCTACAATTATGGTAATTCAGGTTAATAAGAGTATTCACCAGACGCAAGGAACCAGGAAGGGAGATCAACAAGGCAGGCACCAGGGCTGTGTGCGGGGCAGCAGGAACACCCTCCTGCCATGTCCAACACTCCTCCCGCAGCGTACCTGCCGCTCCAGCACCTCTGGCCTCCTTCACAGCCCAGCATCCCCGCTCCCAGCGAAAGCGGGGATCAACAGTGACAGCCAGTTCTCTCTCCGATTCACAGCGCTGCTTTGTCATACCACAAGCAAACCTAGTTTTTAAAGCGGAAAATAACTGCAAACAGGAGATGATGAAAGGTGGAGTGTTGCCGCGTGCTCAGAGACGGTACCATCCTTGCAGAGGCAGCGTGCGTGTGTTCGAGACATCCCAGAAGTAGCCTGTGACAGAAAAGTCACGGTGGGGCTCCTTCTGGTGGGTGTCATCGCTCCCCAAGGCGGAGAGAACGGTGCCGTGCCCTCAGCCGTGTCTCCGCAGCGTTACGGCCGCCGCTGCGGTCGTGCAGCCCGGCAAAAGCAGCCCCTTCAAAGGCAACTTCACCTCAGGGACCAGAATGAGACGACCAGAACCCACCTCTGCCCCGAACGCAGTAAGTGACCCCGAGGAAAAAAAATAAAAAAAGAGGAAAAAAACAAACAAACAAACACACACACGAAATTACACCCACTTATTCCGCCAGACGGCACAAGGCCTCCCCGGGAGCGGGGCTGAGCCGGGGACAGCCCGGAGCCCGCGCCCGCAGCCCCGTCACCG